CTATAAATTTCAACTATTTTGGGGTCCAAATTACGTTGTCAACGCTTTGTAACACCACTACGCTACTTCCTTTCTTGGTAGCCGCAGAGTGCATCACGGGAGTCCGCGACAACCGCAGTTGCCGTGACCGCCGTCGTCATGATAACCGCAGTCATCATGACGAGGCAGAACCTGCTGAGAGCCTTTGTCAGCTATAACGGGTTAGTTATATCACTTCTGAGTGTTTTTACCAGCACATCGAGAGCCTGCGGGCTTAAAAGTGGTACCTCTCCTGGCATGAATGACGTCAGCACAAATGAACATTTGTCATTGGCACAGCGGGCGGCAAGGGCCAGTTGCCGAGAAGCGCATCGGTTGAAGTTTGAACAAATGCGTGGCTACAGACCAAGTGATACTCCGCTTCCCAAAGCCACAGTGCGCTTCGAAAAGGGCCACCGTGCTTAGCGTCTTACGGTAGAAACCAAAGTCGAAGTATAACGTGTCGTCAAACTCCCGGGCTTAAAGCATCATGTTTGCACATATTTTTATCTAAAAACAGTGTTTCCAGCTTTCGCAACATCTATTACATAAACGTTTTGAGAAATTAGTGTGTTTCAGACATTACGGAACACACATGGTGGAAGAACAAAGGCAAACTATATGTATTTCTTTCATGGTGGTGGGCAGAGAGTGTGATTCAACTTCTCCCTCAGGAGAGGCTATTTCAAGTGGAAATTCTTAGCTATTCAGGCGGATTTCGTAAAAACGGGTGCTACCGATCGCGCCGAGCATGTCAATTTCACAAGTGAAAGTACAGAAAGGTGGTATCCTCCCATAAAGGATCTAGGCAGTTTCAACACATTGCTAAGATATTTGGTGCATTTGTTTTCCTAAGGGCTCTTTTCTACGCTGCAATGATAATATGAATGATTGACCTTAACATAAACTCAGTCACAAGGAAGTGTTTGCTGTTGTACTTGCATTGTCCAGCCTAGCATTTTAGCCACAAGCATTGCGACAAAGACGGGTATATACTGGAATTGGCAATGGGGAGGATGCACAATAGAAAGAAAAAAAAACATTCAGGAAAAATCTACTTTAATGCGCTGTGAAATCTCCCGCATGGCGTAAGTTATTATTGCATGTTTTCGGTATGCTCATTTTTGGGTGTCTACCTTGAATTGTGATTTTCAAAATTTATTCAGGCACACGAATGTAATCTAATGAATGCCATAAATTTGTTACGCAAAAGGACTTATTTCGATGCAGGTGCATGTGCCCCGGAAGGTTTGACGACAGTACGCCACCCGTGACCACAGACAAAGAAAAAACCTGGCAATATTGCGGCCGTCCAGGACTTTGGGGTAAAAAAACTGTTCTCTCGACCAAGCTATTCTACTGGCTTCGAAAAAGCTGCCATTCGATCATGCTAATTATATCAAATTAGCCATGTACAAGCTCTGTTATTATATATGCTGGCTCAGACAAAATATAACTGCGTTTTACTCAGCACCGGCAAGTGCATTTCTCGCACATGAAGAATGCGGTCGAATTCAACCTCGTGCAGGTAACTAAGTTAAATTACGTACAAGCTTTGGCTGCATGTATTGCACAGTTGTGTGCATTTCTAAAAATCAATTTGGCTTTTGAATATGACTCTCATTTATTTTAAACTGATCTTCAATTGGTTTCGAGTATTATTGAAGGGCTATAACTCGAAAGATACATGCATGTATATATATATATATATATATATATATATATATATATGCATATTCCTAGTTATTAACTCAAAAGGAATTACGATAACAGCCTATTCATTTGACTTTGCGTCAAGCATCGAGGGTAGATAAACGTGAATACCAACCAGCTCTTTCCTTTGGAAGACTTGCCTTAAGGGTCAGTTTTTACACCCATTTCTAGTTCACTGTCCATGTGGATGTCAACAGGTACATTATGTTGACTTCAATAGAATACTGGGAGGTCGCTGTCCTAAAATGACCTCGATCGAAGCTTTGTTTTGCTACTTAAAGGGAATGCTCCACATTTGAAGACATTGAGGGAAGCATCAGATATGATGAAATAAGTTTACTCATACCTATTAGTGTACTTTAAATGGAAAAGTCTGTTTTGGTCAATCCCTTTTCTCCGTTTTGTAAATATGATCCTCAATACACCATCGTTTGATTACGTCATTGTGCGTTGCATAACATTGATAGCGAGCCAATTAATGGCCGCTATATCTGTAAGTCGTGCTCATAAACGCCAGATATGAACGAATCGAAAATGATATTTGCTTGGCTTTGACTGCCACGTGGCTAATGAAATAACGCGATTTCAATGACACTATCATGACGTCATGGATGCCTGGGTGACTTTGAAATGCTTTCCCTGAAAAAGACTGCACATCTCCGCGGGCGTGTAGCTCCGAAACTAGAGTGATTGGGTCTCAAGATGGGCAGAGCTGTACCGAGTGATTTTAAGACGGGTATTTCAGTTCAAAACTCTACACAAATGTGGAACACTCCCTGTAAGATAGTTGCCGATGCTGCTTTTAAGTTAGAGTATGGAAACAGTATCGAAGGTTCTGGCCACTTTGAACATATCATGCATAAGATCAGGTCATTTACCTTCTCTGACCATTACCTTTTGGTTACCTTAATGGCCACCTAAAATGTTTACCTTTTCTGGCCATTATAATTGTCAGAGAAGGCAACTGACCTGGTGTAGCCCAATCGACCTCTTGTTTAGAAAATGTATCTAGGTTAAAGATGGCTGTGTAAAAGTATCTGAGGACACCATGAACACTAACTTGACCTGATATGACCTAAAGGTGAAGACCTAAATACCTTAAGATTGCACACGAATGGGATGGCATAGAGGCGCACCTATCCTGCAGATTTAGTGTCTTGATCTCATGTTGTTGCATGGCAAGACGCGGCGGTCTGTTTTTGACCTGTGGTGGCCGATCTCGACCACCGACGGCCGATGAACGCCGGGGCTGAGGTCATAGGTAAAAGGCCTCAGTATTGTTCTGTGCAAATGTTCCATGTAAAGTAGTTCTTTCCAAAGCAAGTAACAGAAGAAGTTGCGTCTAGCTCATCAGCCAGGTCTCCTTCATCTGGAGCCAAATGGTGAGTTGCTGGAAGTGTGACTACAACGGTAGCGTGGCTGGTGATCGATCAGAGACTGGCAACACTAGCGCGACCTACAAGGTACTCGGGGCGATAGCAGCGCCCCTAACGGCTACACCTTCGGCCTGGCCGTCACCGGAAGCGACGGAACGCCAATCATCGGTTTCCCGCTGCGGGTCAGAAGTCAGAGAAGAGAAGATGACATAAGCTCTGAAATATTTTTTCGTGGATTCTTCAGTTTCATGCAGTTTTAATTCCGTTTGCGGTTAAGTCTGCTAGGATGAGACCAGCAAATATGGGTGAGTCACCCTTGAGGTGTGGCCCTCGCATGTCAACACTGCCACCCGCTGATGCCCCCTGGCCGGTGGGAATTGTGTAACGATGGTAGGCGGTGTTTCTCTTGCGCCAAAGGTGGCAGGGATGACAGGATTTCAAGCACTTTATCCGCTGCCAGGATACCGGACATTGAAAAATGTAGGGACGGTTGGAATGGTACATGGTGTCCAAGCTGTCGCTTCTTCCCCTTAGCATTGGTATGTTGAAACGATTAAACCCGGCATGACCGTCGCTGAATCAGTCCAAAGAAAATGTGCATCGTATCTCATATATATATATATATATATATATATATATATATATATATATATATATATATATATATATACATATATATATATATATGTGTGTGTGTGTGTATGTGTGTGTGTGTGTGTGTGTGTGTGTGTGTGTGTGTGTGTGTGTGTGTGTGTGTGTGTGTGTATGTGTGTAGGTATATATGTACATATATATGTACATATATATGTAAACATATGTATATGAGCCTACATACTGATATAACATATTTATCAGATGTTATAAGAATCATCTCTAGGGGCGGCGCAGCAGGAGGACATAGGGGTGAGTTGCCCCCCCCCCCCCTGCTGGCAGACAGAGGGATACAGAGTGTATTTTGCCTCCTAAATATTCAGCGGACACTTTTTGTCCAACTGAAGAGTTTGCAGCTACACATTTACCGATGATAAAATCATAAAGGTGGCATAATTATACTAGTAAGTACAGACTTGGGCTCAGAAGACCCTTTTTTGCAGCGAGAGAGTCAGGGTCAGGAAACCATCTTTATGGATAAGGTAGTACATACCCTAAAACATAAAGCCTTTTTGTGTTAAGGAGACCCTTTCTGGCTCGGGAGGTACTTTCCATGAGGTAGAAGCCGCCTGTTTTAGATATGGAAGCAGCCTCTTTAACAGGAGGGTGCCTCAGGAGGGTGCCCATAACACTCACATCAGGAGGCCCCTTTCATGCATCAGATGGCCGATGCTTCGAATCGGAATACCCTGTTTTGAGATATTGAGGCTCTTTACCGGATTTGGAGGCCCTTTGTGAATCGGGAGGATTTTGTCCTGGACAAGTAGTACCTCTATGCATCAGGAGGCCCTTTATGCATCAGTAGGCCCTTTATTTGGAACGAGAGGCTCTGTTTTGGAATAGGGAGGGCCCTTTGCTGTATCCGGAAATCCCCTTTATTAATCAGAAGGCCCTTGTTCAACTGTCGCCATATATCCAACTAAAATTGGTACATATGACACTTTAATGGCGGATACGTGACCCCGGTCCTTCCCCCTCTCGAATATAGCGTAACCCAGGAACCCGCCCTGTCAGTAGGTTCCATTTTGTTCAGGAGAACCCCTGGAGAACTCTGGCCCACTCATAATCCCTCCCTATCACTGCCACTCTTCAGGCGGAAGCGGCACAGGTAAACGCTTGTTGATCGGGAGATCCGAATCTGCACCTCGGTGGGTCCGGTCGGGACCTTGCGACTGCTGTCCTTTTTTGTTCGAGCTCATTCAGGAGCTTGCAAGTAACGTGCCTGCTTACACATATGTTTTATTTGATAATTAACGAAACATTTGTTCGGCATATGATTTATAGATTTACTTGGAGTCATAAATATTATGACTGGCAGGTTACTTCAGGTTACTCACAGCCGTACGACTAACAATACAAACATGCATGAGTCATTCAGTGGGGACACGGATCTCTTATTGGAGTGGCTTGCATTGCTTCATGACACCACTTTTACATCTAGGTCTAAGGCTGTTTGTGGAATTATTTTTATTTGTTCGGATGCGGCGGTAGACGCATGGCGCACGCTGGATATAAGTGATAGGTGAATTCTCACATCATGACACAACAGTATGTATTACGGTATGGTTGTGCCATTCGGCACGCCTCTGCCACGGCACTTCCACCATTACTTCGCAAAAGACTGTAGCACCATCACATTACATGGACACCATGTTCATTTCAACCCACTACGCTCAAACACATAACCCACCCTAGCGGGGCATCACAGAACGCATATCTATGCTCCGCGGCCTGACCCGGGCCACGCCCACTCAGTCGAACTTGGGTGCCGGGCAGTGGTCCTTGGGGATGTTTTTCGGGTTGTAGAGCCGATACTCCTTGTCGCGGTACTCATTCCACGGTTCGGGGTTCTGCTGTTTGCGGTAAGAGACGTCGGGCGTGCGCAGCGCAGTGCGAAGTGAGAAGGCCACCACGCCGGTGAGCGCCGCGCCCAGCATCGCCACCAGCGGAATCAGTGCGTAGTTCTGCCTCAGGCCGGCCAGTGAGAAGTTCTTCAGCACCATGGCGGCGGTTCTGTGGGGCAAGAGGCGCCGTCAGGGGGCGGCCCCGGCGCTCCGGTACGGTAGGCAGGGCGTGGGAAGGGTCGGGGTAACACACAGGTGCGACGGTGGGTGCGTCCGTTAGCAGGGCAACAAACGGCCCCGGCTCTCCGGTACGGTAGGCAGGGCGTGGGAAGGTTCGGGGTAACACACAGGTGCGACGGTGGGTGCGTCCGTTAGCAGGGCAACAAACGGCCCCGGTTCGATGGCACCCGCAGTCTGAACCGCTAGCAGAGAACACCACGAATTTAATGTGGCGAGAAGGTCACAAACCAGAAAGCTGACGACGTGAATAAATATTTCAGTGACGTTCATGTGGCACAGTAATTGTGTAAGACACTAACATATCTTTCTTTCACCTCTTTGACAAACTAGTATGTACCATACCGTGCCAGTATAAGTGATCTACATGACTTCTATAACAGCCGTTTGCACCGTTTGTAACGTTTATGAAAGGAAACACAAGACAACGGGCAAACAATCACCGGTACTTGGATAACCGCTAAAAAAGGAAAGACGGCCATGTGCGTTCTCCACACACGTCTTTTGGCACAAAAATTAGAAGACGCCATTCACATTCGGTATGATAGAAGGCTTCAACTTAATATAAGCAAGAAAGACCTGGAGCATCTAAATTTTAACTCTTTTAAGCGGTACCTTCCCCATACGGGAGTTCGATGATTTTACACTTAAGAAATATAAACGCACGTGGGATTCAAAGACAGCTTACTCAGGTTTAGGTCGCAGAGGGTACTAAACTTCTGATGGCAAAGAGAGCTTCTGTGAAAACAACATGCAAATCGAGATGAATCTCAATGTCGAGCGCTACTGAAGTCTGTACACGAGCCATAACTGGACTATTACCTCAGGAAGGGCTCTCAATGGTCGAGCGCTACTGAAGTCTGCACACGAGCCATAACTGGACTATTACCTCAGGAAGGGCTCTCAATGGTCGAGCGCTACTGAAGTCTGCACACGAGCCATAACTGGACTATTACCTCAGGAAGGGCTCGTCAGCAGATCTAAGTCAGAATTCCATGGATCGGTACCCAAACCCAGCTAGAACTTTTGTCGACAGGATCAGGAACTTGAAGCCTGTTATTAGTTTGGTGATCCAGCATTCTCGTAGTATTCTCGCTGCTTGCAGTTTGCTGACTTGAGCCTGATTGCATTGTGGTAAACCGTGCTTAACAAACCTAAGTTTGTCCAAGCGTCAAACTTGATTATCCACGTTTGAGCATGGCCGTTAAAAAGCGTCGTATGTTCGCCGTGTCCAAACCACTGGTACTCACAAAACCAGCTATGGCAGGACGAGCTCCGGAGTGTTGCAGTAATCGTCTGATAAGATACAACTGGCTTGCGTTTCCACGCTGGGAGAAAGTGATGCTTCACTGTAATGTGCACACTGTTAATTACAGACGTGTCATTTATTATCTGGTTGAGTTTGCTTAAATTTAACGCGTGGAGAGCATTAGCATGTGTTTCAAGATTTGTATGAGTTTTAAGTTGAAAAAGCAAAGTATTGTGTATCGTTAGTGTTTAAAATTATACCAACAGTCTAAGTGACCTTGTTTCATCGGATCTCATGCTTACTTCAATATCTTCAAATGCAAGCATTCCCTGTGAAGGGAGTGCTCCATACTTATATGGGATTTTGAACTGAAATAATATTGAAGATCAAGAAATATATCTTGAAATTTAGCTATTCTAAAGTGCATTTCACAACCTTGCCTCTTTCTTCATCTGCCCTGAAGATGAAGAAATATATCTTGAAATTTAGATATCTTGAAGTGCATTTCACAACCCTGCCCTTCTCAAGACCTAAAGCTCCCTGGTTTCTGAACTATACGTGGGCGAATATGGGGTAGGTGTTTCGGAATGGGTTTTTTAATGTTACCTTGACATTCATGACGCTATAATAACGGCATTCAGACCCTGCCATTCCAAAAGCCATGCGGTGATTAAGGCCGAAAAATATGATGGTCGAACCATTTAAATCTAGCGTTCGTGAGCACGAGTTCCAGATATAACGGATGTCCAATGGCTCTCGATCAAAGCTGTGCAGGGTACCATGACGTCATCAAACCATGCCTTATCGACAAGCATAGTTACTAAACAGAGAAACTGCGTCGTCTAGCTTATGCTGTCCTATTAAAAAGTCTACCAACAGTTAAAGGTGAGCTTGTTTCATCATATCTGATGCTTGTTTCAATGCATTCATACGTGAAATGTTCATTTTAAGTCATTTGAGACCCGTATGATGCTACCATGGTCCTTGATGAAACCATAAGGCTGTAGGTAAACTAAGGTATCACCAATGCCTTGTTCGTGTTATGCTAACCTGAGCAATATCGCGACACTTATTCTAAACACATTCAGGAACTCAGCGTGACATGAGTTGTTCACATATCTGTTAGAGCGAGGCCTTAAGTGGCACATTTGACACCACAGATCATAATTTTAAAATATTGGCTTCCTCCTGGAGGTCAATCAAGCACCAACCATGCATCAGTGACGTTTTTCAGCAATCTGCATCTCAGTTCCTTCTCTTCCCAAAATCCTGTGATAGAGCAGCTCACCGATCACCTGGAGCTGAACAGAACGCTCCTGGAAGCGGCGGTGTGACCGGCACGAGGCGCTCTCACGCTCCGCCAGCTGACACCTGAGTCCGGTCACCTCCTCTAGCGGCCAGTTGGCAGCGCCGTCCACACCTCACCCCCCGTCCCAGGCCGACCACAGAGTGACCGTGTTGGCCGCCGGCCGGTCGCGACCTTTCCCCAAAGTGACCGGCGCGGCGCATCGATTCTAACCACGGCGCAGCGCCACCGTCGCGTCGGCGCCCGGGGGCGACGGCCGACGGACGCCCCGGGGACGAGGGCGGCGACCGCGACAGCCATGCTCCCGTCTTGCGCTGGATGGCGGCCGATGCTCCCGGCAGGTGGCTCGTTTCCTCGGTGAAGGCGTGGCAATTGATGTTCGTGAACAGCTTGCAGGTTGTATTGTCTCCAGTGGCAGAAGAGCTGGAGTTGGTGGCGGCAAGGGCGTGTGTCAAGAAATAGCCACGTAGTTGTGAAAGGCTTGGACGAGCATGACCGCCTGTTGTACGCGCCGATGGGACATCCTGTGGTGGCAAACACTGCGATGCCGTTAGTTTGAAGCTTGACGTTGCGAGAGCCAACTTGCATCACAGAAAGTTTTCGCAGATAGGGGTCTGCATGTATGCTTGCTAGTAAGAGGCACGACTACATAATAGTCTCAGGTGGCAAAATTTGAGTTGAACTCAGCGATACCGTATTGTGGTACCACGGCACTGGCCTGCCGATATCGAAGTGGTACGTGGATTGGCAATGTCAGGAATTCGTAGGCACCAAGACATGTCCTGGATTGAATGTCAACATTAAGAGCCTGTAAGTATCAGCGCTAGCACCATCCCACGTTGCAATTTATAAACCGGTGCGCACGCAAAAGCGGAAAGGAACAGGCACGATATTTTCAGAATTGCTTACTTCTAGCCAGTACCACGCTGCGTGGATATTGTAAGCCAGCATGGATCAATGTCGTTGCGGTACAGTGACACTTGTTATCATTCATATATGCCAGAATGATACTGCTCTAAAACTCGTTCATTCAATGGACTCAGAACGATCGGTCGGTATGTAGCTATAACACTGAAGCGGTGGTTTGATATCTCAAGGTTTCGCAAATGGCTATGTAGAGATATCTGTCGACTTTGTTGGGCTTTTGAGCATCAACTTATGGCCAAGTTATGATGCCCCAAAAACATTGTCAATTTGTCATACAATGCGTGCACCAGCCTCTGTATTTCAGTAGAATGGATAAGGATCTAACCAAAAGGCGCATCTACGGAACTTGTTGGCCTAGTTTTGGGTCCGCGATGAGGCGGGTCTCATGAACACGCTTGAGGTCCGGGGCCGGTTGACTGTGCACAGCCTCCAGCGTTTCCAAATAGCGATCAGCGTGGCACGCGATCTCCTTAAAAGTTTCGGAAGATGCCTCTCGGGTATATGCCTCTCGGGCCTCTGGGTGCAACTCTCGGGCCTCTGGGTGCAACTCTCGGGCCTCTGGGTGCAACTCTCGGGCCTCTGGGTGCAGTCGCGCCCAGGCTTCCAGTGTCCTCTGAGAATGTTATTGCGCGTGTTTTGGCATAAAAATATGTCCCTAGCGAGTCTGCTTTCTGTGAAGGCTTTAGCTGTTAGGAACCCTGCACGGCGATCGATGGCTGACGTGGGCGACGGTCGGCAACCAAGAATGCGCGTTGTGCCCTCACACTAAAGGGATTGTTCCACATTTGAATATATTGAAGTAACCATCAAATATGATTGAAATATTTCGCTTATTACTATTGGCGTACGTTTAAGTGGAAAATGCTGTTCTAGACGACACAATTTCTCTGTTAAGGAAATATGTTCCTCACCACGTCATTGATTGCGTCACCATACCTTGCACAACATTGATTGAGAACCAATTGATGGACATTTTATTTGGAAATCGCGATCACGAATATGAACGACTCAACAATCACATTTTCCTTGCCTTGATCGCCGCATAGCTGATAAAATGGCAGGATTTCAATGACGTTCATATGGCGTCATGGATACCTGCGACACCTTAAAGTCTTCCTGAAATAGTCTGCACAGCTTGACGAGCGTGTAGTTAAAAAGTAGAATGATTAAGATCTTAAGAAGAGTAGGGCTGTGAACTGCACCAAACGAGTTTTAACATGACTACCTAAGTTCAAACCACCATCCAAATGTGGACAAACCCTACCCGTCGGACACGCGGCATCCCCTATATCGGACACGCAGCCGCTCCAGTGCCGAACGTGCGTCCACCCTTTTGCCGAGCACGCATCTACTCTAAAGCTGGACACGTGACCTCTCCTGTGCCGGACACACGAATTCCCTGAGCGAGACATGCTGCCCCTCCTGTGCTGGACACGCTGCCCCTCCTGTGCCGGACACGTGACCTCTCCTGTGCCGGGGACACGGTCGCCCTAGTGCTGGACGGCTACTCCTGTGCCGGATACGTGACCTCTCCTGTGCCGGGGACACGGTCGCCCTAGTGCTGGACGGCTACTCCTGTGCCGGACATGTGACCCCTCCTGTGCCGGGGACACGGTCGCCCTAGTGCTGGACGGCTACTCCTGTGACGAACATGCGGCTTCTCATGTACCGACACGCGGCCAGTTCAATGCCGGACATGCGACCTTTCTTCCTCTGCCTGGCGGCCGTTCTTGTCTCGGACACGCTGCCCCTCCTGTCCCGGACACCCAGCTGCTACTGTGCCGGATATTGGACATTCCCAGTGATCGAAATAGCGGCGCTCGATGATTGCGATGATTACGTCATCTTACCTTGCATAACATTGATTGAGAACCAATTAACGGCCGTTATATCTGGAAATCGCGCTCGCGAACGCCAGATGTCAACGCCTAAACGATGACAATTTTATTTGTCTTGATCGCTGCGTGGCTTATGAAATGGTAGGATTTGAATGGCGTTATTATGACGTCATAAATGACGTCATAAATAAAGGTGAATAAAATACTTTCCCCGATGCGCCTTTCCCGACTTTCACGGGCGTATAGCTCAGAAATTAGAGGGGCCTAGCTCTTAAGAAAGGCAGGATTGTGAACAGCACCGAAAGGTCTTCAAAATGGCTTTTTAGTTCAAAACTCCATATAAATGTGGAACCCACCCTTTAACATGCAGAACGTCATAATGACACAGTGCGGGCTAATGCAGGAAGTATTTCACACCCTGCTCTATTTTATGGGTGTGTGATATGTGACTGCGTTTATAGATAGGTCTATAGGTTTATAGATATATTGCGAAGGTTTCTGATTGATTTGTCTCCAGGTAGCAACTCCGGCTGTTCGAAATTTCGTCGGTGATAGAAAAAAACGTTTTTTTTTGGCTCCGGTTGCCCTTCTTGAAAGCATATCGTGTGGCGCTCTGAGCTCAATGTTATCTGACACCAGAATTATGCACACCCCAAACCCTTAAGGTCGATCATTACCGCAGGGTAGCGGTTGGCGATGTGGCTCACGTGCCAGTCCCGAGAGCCCAGTCCTCTCGTGTAAGCTCACCACTCGCCCCAGTCCCGAGAGTCCAGTCCTCTCGTGTAAGCTCACCACTCGCCCCAGTCCCGAGAGCCCAGTCCTCTCGTGTAAGCTCACCACTCGCCCCAGTCCCGAGAGCCCAGTCCTCTCGTGTAAGCTCACCACTCGCCCCAGTCCCGAGAGCCCAGTCCTCTCGTGTAAGCTCACCACTCGCCCCAGTCCCGAGAGCCCAGTCCTCTCGTGTAAGCTCACCACTCACCCAGCGTCGCAGCGACTGCCAGCGGTCCGTCTGCTCCTGGAGGTGGAACGGCGCTGAGCGTCGGAGGGCCCGCACTGGCGCGGGTGGCGACCACAGGATCGGCGCGGCGGTCAAGCAGCGCACTGCGCCGCCGACGCCCCAGACCCTGCCTGAGGCATACCCCCCACAACAACACCGCGCCTGTCGGCATGGGCGGACTCAGCTGGCATGCCTGGCAGCTGGCATCTCGGGTGTTGTGTCTTTGGCGTGGGTGTCCTCTCCGGGTGTGAGCGATTGACATCACATTTAGGAAACGATTATTTAATTCGTGGCGGGCCAAGAGTGCAAAGAGTTTCACCAGAATGCAGCCGTACGAGCGCCCATGTGAGCCCCCGTGCCGCTCCAACACTTGACACTGATAATGTGTCGTCGCCAGTTATCGATCAAGAGTTATGAGTTGCATCAGAAAGCTCACGCGTTAAATCTGCTGATAGAGCAGCTTAGTTGGCACGACAACGACATTGCGTCACCAGTGCAGACGGAGCACGTGGCATTCCGGAGTGGAGCTTTTTTCGGCTCTCCCGTCGCATGGCGGGAGTCATCCGACTGTGGCTGTTATATGAGAACACCCTCAGACCACGCCCGTCCGATGCCATAAACGGCCATTTCGGTTCATGAGTGACGAGTACAAATAATTTTAGTCCATATCCGTTCGATATGTGTTATTTGCTTTCTATTGTATTCATTATATATATATATATATACTTATTTATTCATTTATTTATTTATCTATGTTATTCGGCGTATAAAAGTACAACTTTGATTCAAAGCAACTGAAGACGGAAGTCAACCAACTGAAATGCCATTCAAAGTTGTTGTAATTCAATTTAAATTTACTGAAGATGAAGTTTCAAGTTTGTTCTTTGTAGCCATTCGCAGACGCTCAATATGACTGCAACCAACCAGGCAACCAGGCTGGAGCCCATTGACATCGACCGGGACGAAAGTAAAAGGCCCGATGGGATGACCATATTCCTGTTCACGTCCATAGTAACAGCCTGGTGTGGCATGTCACGTGCAACAATACCTTCGCCGCCTCCACCCTAATACCTTTCGCGATAGTCGCTGATGCTGCTGTTAAAGAAGTCGAATGTGAACAGGAAATGCTCGAGCCTCACTTAGCGTTTTCATTTCCAATCAGTCACATTTAAAATCGGCGAAGCCTGTGGCTTATCGACCACACATTTTGTCGAAAGTTTTGGGCGATGGACAGTAGTCCCGTTTGTTATTCCCGTTCTAGGCTCATTTGCTCGTCGGGCGATAGCTGGAAAAGTGCTTAGCTCTGGCTGCGTCTGGCTAGTGCCAGAGTCCGCGGAAACGTACCCTAAGTGACATTCATTTTCACCAGCTTTGAAAAGCAGAACCTGTGCACGCCCAGCTCAAAGACGGCATGTTGCGACAGTCTGCAGCGTCGCCAAAAGAAGAGACCACGAACACCAATTCTCCCAAGAGTGAGACTGGCGGTAGAGCACGGCCTGCGACACGGACACTTGGCTTTACGGATCTTCAAACATGACCTGGTGCTGACCTTAACGCCATAACTCGATGAGGTTATGGTCCCGCCATAACCGCCATACTCATACCTACCTGTCGTCCCGCTAGCTTATCGCCTTTGCACTAAGTAATTTTATCATTGTTTCCCTGACCGAATAAAGGATGTGACCAGGTCTTTTGATCCTTGCATAACTGGCCTGATCAATAACTAGGGTTTGATGTACAAAGACATTTCTCGGGGGAGGGCAAGGGAGGCGGAGTGCGCTAAAGTGAAGAAGTGGCGTTGAATGAAAATAATGTCATATGTTTTGGCTGCTATGGCGCAACCCTTTTCGCCGGCAGTGTGGCCAAACAGGCACACAATCTAAAGCTACACAAACTGAAAGCAAAACGAAGCATGTTCAACATCGAACAATAGGCGTGAAGCCATGGGGGCGGGGCGGACGAAACTCGAGCACGGAAAAGTATCTATGTCAGCTTGACACACCCTAATACTGTTTTTTAGTACGGATTTAGACAACTTTTCTAGTTATTTGGCAAGCCGTCAAATGTCTGCCAAAATAACGTCTATTTTTGCAGCCAATCTTCCACACCTAAGCCAAAAAGTGTGCGGAGCATCCGGGCACCCCTCCGTGCATTGCCGGGCCAACGATAACGTTGCAAAGTATAACAGTGTATTGGCAGTATTCTGAAGTCATACGGAATGTGACATGTCACACATCACCCACGCAGAGATCACTGTGCACCAGGCGCCCAGCGAAGTGCTTCTCCACAAGATTACACGCATGTATGCGGATCACTGGGTTAGCAATGGCCATGGGGAGGTAGTCAGTACATGCGGCTGCTTTACGATATGGCAGCAATAACGTGCATGTTCTCGCCACTTGGCTGCTGGGTCCTCGCGCTACATTGAACTTTCAAACTTAGGTGTTTGGGTGTTCGTGGAATGGAGGAGATAAGCGAGCATTTCGAAATATCTGGAGAGTTACGAATGTTATCAGCAAGATAATATGTGAGTACCACCAGCTATGTCGCACAAAATCAATCTTGGACAACCCGCAGCCATTGGTAGTTAGATCAACGTTTGATTGCGAATTACACAAACACTAACGCAAATGAGATAACCAAACCCTAGCACAAAATCCGGGAGGGGATAGTCTATCAAAATTGGAGGTGATGCATTCAAAACAGTACCACCGAACGTACAGCTCACCAGCTTGGATCGCCTTAAGCATGATCTTATCGATGCACTCCAGAGAACCAACGCACGGATGCATGGATGTAGATGCATGCTTGCTCCTTTTTACCTATGAACCGTCTCATGTGTACCTTCATTATGGCCTGACCAGCCCTAATGACTCCACGACGGGACCGTGGCCGCAATAATCCGAGTCTGAGTCTGAGCCTGGATAAGCATCAGCTTTGAGGCACCAAGTAAACGGAGCGTCATCAAATAACAGTTGGACTCATCAATGCACGCTACTTTCTCCCAGCTTCTATTTGAGCCATTAAAGGTTTCACGAGTAAAATACACTTTTCCTTGATCTAATCCGAATACGTGGTTCATTTCTGGCTTTTTTGATTGTGCAAAGCGTGCCCTCCAAATACCTGTGTACTATCAGCGCTGACTCTCGAAAGCCGTGGGCATGTCGGTGAGAGTAACAAGACGGTTTTCCTCCACCAGGTGGAATCTTGACGATGTTCGACTTACTGAAACTCCGCCAACCGCGGCTTTTCTGGCTGGCTGCCCTCGCGGATCCAGGAATGTGTGCTTCAAACGAGAACGCCTGTCGGCTTTTGCATCTCCTTCCAATTGTCATCCCCGCCGGCTTACACTCGAATCTCTCCTTGACCTCCACTGGTGCTCGTTTGTACTTCCCACGCTTGGATCCCAGCTTGACACTCCGCCATTTGGCAGTCACCTTATCTTAAATGTCTTCGGATGATGTGCGTTGCTTGCATAAGGCCGTGGTAACACTGCAGCTATAAGGCTCATCGCAGTTGGTTGTCCGATTCCTCGCTTCTTTAAGGGAGTGTTCCACGTCTGTACAGGACCTTGGGGTGAAATGGCTACTTTGAAGCTCATTCGGTGCAGTTCACAGCCCTGCCCTACTTGAGGCCTAGACCCTTCTAGTTTCTGAGCTACATGTCTGCAAAAGTGCACAAACTTTTTCGGGGAGACTATTTCAAGGTGACCCAAGCGTCCTTGACGCCATAAATTCAAATCCTGCCACTCCACTCACCATACGGTGATCAAGACCAGGAAAAATTAGAATTGTTGAGTCGTTCATATCTGGCCTCAGTGCGCACAGTTTCCAGATACAACGGCCGTCAAATGGCTCTCAATCAAGTTTGTCCAAGGCACGATGACGTAATCAAACACTGAAGTATTGAGGACCTTATTTGCTAAGCAGGGAAATCGTGACGTTTAGAACAGCCTTTTACACTTAAACGTATGCCAGTAGTTATAAGTAAGCTTATGTCATCCTATCTGATACTTGCATCAAAATCTTCAAGTGTGGAACATCTTCAAGCACGGAACATTCCCTTTCAGCATATTTCATGTGGATAGTTTCTGTGTGTACGTGAAGAAGGCAATAGTTTTGCATCGTATGCTTCTTGCAATATCATACGTGGAGTGATAAGTACATTTGCGAGGAGCATTATGCACGTAGATGGCAGTAGTAATAACCTTACTCCTCAGAGAAAAAAAACAGTGGAATAGATAGATAAATGATATAGAAACGCGTTGATATTTCGGCAACATGTCTTTACCAAAACAAATAGCAGCGAAACCAATAGCAGAAGTAAATTCAAAAGATACTCGTAAGCTAAATTCTCATCAGCTATAGCACGTAAGTAAAATTCAAAGTAAATTTTAAGTCCACTCCTGCTATTCGTTTCGATAAAAACATATTGACGAAATGTCAACGCATCCCATCCCATCCATGTCTCCATTTTCTTGGTTATTCTCCGAGGAATGCGGCTATCGCTGCTGTCTGACCTTTTTTTTGAAATATATGTGCATGATATTGGCACATCAAATTGAAACAATAAAAACAATTCATATCCATTTTCTTATTGATCTTAATTTCTAACCGAAGCCATGACATTGCTACATCAGCTTAGCATAATGCTCATTGAACATCAGTGACATTAATCTGAAGTTTAACAACCTGAGCTTAAAGTTCGCTTGTTGTAAATTAAGCTTCCATTAATTTTTGAAAGGACTTCAAAAATTTCAACTTCAACTTAAAGGTATTAAATAGGAAGCAGCATGGTGCAGCATATTTGACCCGCATCTGTCAGATAGAAGGGCATCTTAGACGCACCTTGTTCTGATGGCAAGGCACGCTCGATCCATCTCCGTTCGATGGAATCAATCTTCGATCCTGCTTTGTCCGATGAGAAGACATCACAGTCCACCTTGTTTTGATCGGACGATAGCCTCAATCTACTTTCCTCTGATGAGAGGAGCATCTTTGATCCACCTCCACGCAACAAGATGACGCCTTAGGTCACCTCCGTCCGATGGAGGATTTTCTATAGGTCCATTTGCATCAAGTCAGGGACTGGCTTGGTCTTGGTCAAACTCCATCAGTTGGCAAACTTCGTTTAACTCTCACAAGTTTAAATGTGCCCTGTCAGTACCATTTTACAAGTCATTCTGGAACGACAAGGTGCCAAAGCTTATGTGCTGTGACGCCAGAGCACTTCACAGTCAGATTATTTTCAGAATAACCTACCAGCGTCTTCTAAGCAGAAATACCCGATGATAGGAATTGTCTGCATAGCACTACGTGTCGGCTAAAGCCGTATGGAGACCGGAACTCATTCAACTAGTTATGGGTCTTAGCCAAGAAAGTCATTTACGCATAACAACGGCACGTTTGTGACATGCTACATTTGGTATCTTTGTTTAAGAAAGGCGACGCGTCCTTTATTAAGAAGTTTCAACGGACACGACCCACAGTTTTAATAATGGCCCACAAACTTAACAATGACAATTTGAGGTGACATGCTCTCGTGAGCCTGTATGACCATTTTGCTAACGGGTTACAGGTTCAGCGGTTAGCGAACAACGGCCTTCGGCGCCCGTCAGTTCTCAAACAGGGCGTTGGTCTGGGGCTCAGCCTCGCGACTCTACACCGAACAGGCCGCGGCGTTCTGGCCGCACTGAGCGGCGCCGACTGCAAGGGTGACCATGGGAGCGTCCTGCCATCCCCCGCCGCGGGACTCTACACCGAACAGGCCGCGGTGCTCTGTCTGCACTGAGCGGCGCCGACTGCAAGGGTGACCATGGGAGCGTCCTGCCATCCCCTGCTGCGGGCGCGGGCTCACGCACAAAGGAAGGGTACTACGCACATCCGCCACGTAATTACAGTAATGGCGGGTGCCCGTCGGCGGAGTTGTGGTGTGGGTACGGGGAGGGGGCCGAGTTGTTTTGCTCGGGGCTCGACGGCCGGGCGAGGCTCGACTGGCGCAGCAGCACCGCTCCACCCTCGCCGCCGAATAAGCGCGCTGACATTGACGAGTCGGGCGGCGCACAATAAACAGGGTTCCGCGACTGCGGCTGATGTCAGCGCGTGCGAAGCTGATATGGGACTCAAGTCGGGGCCATTGAGCTGGGAACAGATGCACGCATTGTTCCAAGTGCAATACAGTTGCAGTATCGCGTGCATGTGGTTTTATAAGGGAAATCGGTGATGTCGGTTGCGGAATGGTCAATATCGTCACAGTGTGTGTGTCCATAGACTAGAATCACCAGGTCTTCATCAGCCTGCCGATAAATAGCCGATCAGTTAGGTTGCTGGAAGGCTAAACGCTTTGTGCACACACACCTAGTTGGAGAGCCTGTGCATTTATAAGTTGGATAAACGTATGTGGCTTAATGTTTGTGATAGTGTGCATATAAAGCGCACACTTTTGCCACGCATACCTTTTGAGCAGAGGTATATCTGGATTTGTTGACCGACAGAAGCACGTGGAAAAATCGCAGCGAGAATTGTTTGTTTTTCCAGAAGCGAAACATTTCTTTTTTGGTATCATTTACTGTTACACAGATGTACGAGCATCCTGAATGTACAGTTTCGCAATTTTGCGCTGCATCTTGACGTGATGGTGTCAGTGGTTCAGGTATGACATGCCCTTAAGCAGGCAATATATATGCGGGTTTTGCGTGCTCATTTCTTTTGGCGCATCCTGGAATGTCGGGAAACGTAAGCGGCTTATCACTGATGACAACATTCCTCAGATGCAATTTTTAGGAAAGTTTGCAACATTTGATTACGGTTGTGAACGTAGATTCAACACTTGCACTTTCTATATTGTACGGCACGAATTTCAAATCATTCGATCGCTGATTTGCTCCAGAAGCCTTCCTGCAGGTATGCATCATGCATCATGCAGGTATGCCTCGTGCACAGTTTCTTCTTATCCATCATAGTCCGCCCGCGAATATTCTTCTCACTTCCTTCGTCATTGTTTTTTTTTTCAGTCGTCCGATCCTTTCGTTTTGGGTTTGTATGCTGTTTGCTTTGAACATTCGCCAAAATAACACTCTGCTGGATCCAGTGTCGGAGAATGCAGTGACTACGGCACGGTACGAAAGCCCTCAACCACCAATAAGAGCGGCGCCTAACGACGGTCTTTGCCAGGCTCGATTTCCGCTGGCTGTTTTGGGTGGTGCACTGTCATGTGTGTTATGCCATTGGGGCTTTGCGATGCACTCAGTTGCTGAGGCTGTGTGGCGTCGCCTGCCTCTCACCCTGGCAGGAAGAGCGGGCACCGCGGGGAATCTAGCCCCGCACCTCTGGTTTCCCAGACGCGTATTGGTTAACGCAGATGCATTAACCACTGCACTACCGGCACCCCGGGTGGTGAACTGTATTTTTGAGGCTGCTAAGTGGTTGTTTTTTTAATTTGTTAGTATTTTTCCTTTCAAGGGGAGCTCAGGGTTTGTTCAGCACTTTGATACTATAGCGATCATTGTGTACCTCACCTCGGCCGTAGTTTAGAACTGCGATGATACGAAGGTCCTTCATGGCCTCACTTCCAATGATCGTTATGACGGCACACCAGTAACCACCATTATATATGGCTGCATCACCTAGCAAAATTTACAGATAGATAGAATAATATATGAACCGTAAAGACTTGATCTCGCGCCAGATACGTATTATAGGATTCAAAAGGACCTTTGCAAGTATGCCATTACTCGACCGCCAGGGAGTTCCCGGCAGCACATTGTGGGACACTAGAGGTACAGGGTTCTATTCCCCGAGGTGGCCGCCCTTCTTACCAGGGTGAGAGGCAGGTGACACCACACAGCCCCAACTGCTGAGTGCGTTGTTAAGCCTCCATTAAACACACTGTACTCGCATGTCAGAAATGAACCACTGGGCTGAAGGTCGCGGAAAACTCACAGCATATGTGTTACCAGTGTCTTTCAGTACTGAGAAATTTTGTCCAAAACAAAAATAGGGAACAAAAATAAAGCTTTATCTGAAAAAGCAGAGATCGTTGTTCTAGAGAGACCCGGTGCGCCCGTCAAACCACGTCATCGTGTGCATGTGTGCCGTAGTGCGGGAGTGCTCTAGACCGCACAACACCATAAGGAATGTTTTGCATTTGAAGATATTGAAGCAAGCATCAGATATGATGAAACAAGCTCACCATGTGAGCTCGTCTCTCACCGTGGCAGGAAGGGCGGCCACTCTAAGGGATAGAACCCCGTACCTCTGGTTGCTCAGACCGCGCTGCCGGGAACCCCTGACGGTCGAGTAGTGGCTCTCTCGCGATGGGCTCTCTTGGGTCTCAGACTGCGCTGCCGGGAACCTCTGACGGTCGGGTAGTGGCCTACCCGCGATGGGCTCTCTTGGGTCTCATTGTACCCATCTGGCGCGAAATCAAATCTCAGTTACTTATTATAAGTATGCCAATGGTTAAAGGTCTTATAACTATTGCTATACTTAAAGTAGAAGAGACTGCTGTAGGCATCACAATTTCTCCGTTTAGCAAATCTGCTCCTCTGTACGTGATTGTGTGATGACGTCATCGTGCCTTGTACAACATCGATTGTGAGCCAATTGACAGCCATTATATCTGGAAATCGTGTACATGAACGCCAGAAATGAAGTCTTTACAATTATATTTTTTGGCCTTGATTACCACATGATCTATGAGACGGCAGAATTTGAATGGCATTATTATGATTTTATTAATGCCAAGGTGACCTTAAAATGTACTCTCCGAAAAAGCCCCCTTATTTTCGCGGGCGTGTGGCTCAGAACTAGATGGGTTAGGTCTCAAGAAGGGCAGAGCTGTGAACTGCAAGGAATTATTTTTGTGATGTCCTTTTCAGTTCAAAACCCAATAGCAATATGGAGCACTCTTATTAATGGCGTGTGTGTCTGATGTCGTCATACTCCGTTTAGAATGGACGGTCGATGTCTCCACGTGTGCTTGAGCAACGTTCCGATTCTGTTCACTGTCGGTTATCACACATTGCATGTACATTAATGTACACACTTCACAATTTCCGTGCGCTTACACGCAATGGAAGAGCGCCCCACCTCCGAAATTTGGACAGCTGTTCCTGGGCGTATGTGGTGCTTGCCATTCCTGCTTGAAACGGGCATTTGGTTTCTCCACGTCCGCTAAGCAAAACAGTAGAGCTGCTAACTGACATTGACTGACACACTCACGTGTCCATTAAACCTGCGCAAACATCCTGCCAAGACAAGCCATGGAACGATATATGGTCAGCTCTCAAAACAGGAATGAATCAATGAATGCCTGCAGAAAAACGAGCGAAATTGCGATGAAATGCGACCAACTCAAGCATAGTAGGCCATGTGGACGCCCTGCGATGTCCCAGCGGGTCGCCGGGACCCACTTTGCCCCCGGAGCCCAGTCGGTCACCACCCACGCGCGGGGAGAGCATACGAGAGTGTGTGTGAGAGGGCCGGGGAAGCAAGTACCGTACGCACTTGGCCGACTCTCGGCATACGGCCTCATTACGGTCCTGGTGTGACGTCACGCCGCTGACCTGCCCCACTCGACCGGTCGCGCGCATCCCACTGCGCATGCGCAGAGGTCGTGTTTGCTTCACGCAGCTGCGTGAGCCGCACGCACCCCGGAAAACCGCCGCGCCTTACAATAGGGGCGGGGTAGGGAGGGGGAGGGGAGACTGCGGACCAATCGGCGTTCCCGAGCGGCCCCTCGCCCGTCCGGCGGCCCATGGAAATAGCGCTTGGCGCCAGCTTCGGATTACGGCCGGCCCTGCGATCGTGCGGCCAGTGTGCGTGCGTGGGGAGTGCGGCGCGAGAGCGTGCCGCATCACACTGTGCTGCAGCCATGGAGTTCATGGTGTGCGGCAAGCAGGTGATCATTGTACGCGGAGAGGAGGACGTGGCCAGGGCTGTCCGCATTCGCCGCTGGAGAGGGGTGAGTGTTGGCGGTCCCCGCCTCGTCGATGCCAGTCGTGGGTGCGCCGGTGGAGGTGCGAGTGTTGCCGGCCCCTGGGTCAGTCGTGGGTGCGCCGGTGGAGGTGCGAGTATCGCCGGCCCCTGGGTCAGTCGTGGGTACGCCGGTGGAGGCGCGAGTGTCGCCGGCCCCTGGGTCACGATTGTCGGATCATTACTGGGAAGAGCTGATTGTTTCCGGGTCGCTGCCTGTGTCGGTCGCGGGTCCAGCCTCGGGCTGGCGGGAGGGCCTCTGCTCCTCCGATGTTTACCGCTGGTGCGTGTGCCGAAGCCGTGTCCCCCGTCGTCGGTCTGATCTAGGGGAGGTGCGCGCTGCCGGGTTACGTTCATTGGGACCGTGATACCGCCGATGCTCGTCGATCCATGTGCCTACCGCCGCCTGGTGGCCGTTCGTCCGCCTCGGGAGAGGGGTCAGCGCCGTGTGCGACGGCCGCCGATCCCCACAGGGGGAACCGGTGTCGTCGACCCCCGGCCGTGCGTCACCGGATGTGGGGGTTGAGCCGTGTATTTATAGTGCCGCTATCGACTACCTCATGGTGAACCCGTGCCGCCTCCGTCACAATTCGTCACGTCCCAGCATAAGTCCCTCCGTCGGCTTACCCGCCAGCCTCCGATAACGGAACGGGCTTGTTAAATTCAGCAAGAACCCCGTTGCCTGCGTAAACTGTTCGATAAGAATCACCGCTGGGTTTGTCGGGAAAGGCTGCGAACACGTGTCGATGGCTATCTAGCATATCCGTCCTCGCGGAACAGTAGCTGAAGGAGGAAAGAGGACGAAACGCGAGCAGGCCGCCAATGAGAATGCGGAGTACAGATGAAAGTCCACCGGAAAGATTTGCATTCAGGAGACATTCAATGCACAATGCCGCAACATTCCACATTTGAAGCGAATATGAAGCGATTGACATGCAAAAAGTGCGTGGTAGGATAGCAGAATAGGGGCGTGTTCGGCCGACAGATAATTTGGGAAAATTACCCGGAATGTTAGAGAATCTTCCGGAATGGTGTTTGGCACTGCCAACACGGAAAATTGTCTCAGATGATCCTCCGTATCGAAGGAGAATGCAGGAAAATTTTCGGGGCACGGTCAAGGCGGAGAATTTTCAGCATGCATAGTTGTGATCATTGGCTGTGGATGGCGCATTGGAGACGAGTCGGGGGATAATTTCCGGACCTGCCGAACATGAATGAAGAGCTTTCGTGAATGACCATCGGAAGTAAAATAATTATTTCTTGGAATAATTTCCTTTGGCCGAACGCGCCCTTAACTTGTAACGGCGAGATATAATGAGCATCTCGGTTGGAAGAGTGTTGTACTTGTGATTGGCCAGAATGCCCGCGACGCGTTGTCGATGGGGTGCGGCGGACGGCGTCCATGGCCCGGCCCCCGCTTGTGAATTGCCCGTTGGAGTAAGATAGGGAGTGCTACCCTGCATAGGACTGACCCGACGATGGACGCTCTTACCTCTCTTTCTCACACACACACGCGGAAACATGGCTTAGGGTGCCTGTGAATGGCACCGGAGAATCGTAAATTTTGGCATGGGTGAGATGTACGGAATCAAAACGATCGGTTTAAGCTGTTTACTCACGTACTGCCATGATTAAACAGCTGCCCCTGCAATTGTGGGCAATTGCTGCTGCTGCTTTTGTGGACACAAGGTGTCATCTACCGCCCACATGATCTTCATGGGCCGGGGCATCTTTACCATAGCATGCCCCAGCATTCATCTCCCCTAGTTAGCACGTCTCACCATCACAACGCGGCGCAAAGATGGTTCAACCTCCCAGTAATCTCGCTTGTTTTGGTTCCAGCACGCTATCTTTACACTTTGGCCTGTATTACCGTGAGCCTCGTGGCCCGCCGGTCACATGTGCTGCGTTCCATTGACACACTTCGCTCTCCGATACCGTGACGAAATCAGAGGCGCTCCCAGAGGCGGAGACGGGCCGCTCAACGGGCGAGGATCGGGCAAAGGCAAGAAGGCGAAGAGCCCGTACACATTCGAGCCGTCTTATTCCAAAACGGGCATGGGATGGGAGATCTCTCTGCGGATGGCACTTCCGCTCTGACGAGACTTGCCAGGGCCGCATTTCGCGTCAAACGTCCTATATGGGGTCAGCACGCGCATTCGACGCACTTCTCAACAGATGTGTCTCGTGTTTTGACAGGCGCGATTGCGCCTATCGGGCGTTATGTGTAGGCACTGTGATCAGAATCCGGGTGCAGCATGTCCAGCCTTCCCCCTGTAATATCACCATGCACTGATCAGCAGTGGGCGCTTGACGCCTGGCCCATGACTCGTCATGGACGGTGTGCCCCTCGATAGATGTGTGCGCTGTAGAGTGCTGGCCAGCCAGCTGCGCAGGACAGCTGCTCATCGGTTCAATGCCCCTCCCCCCTCACTACAGACGGGCCGCAGCTGGAGCGATCGCTTCGAGGCAATCTGATTTCTGCAGTCATATAGGGGGGAGG